GGTGGGTTTGTGGTTATGGTGGGCGGAGATGTGTTGCTACGAGTGGGCGCTACTCTGAATGCCGAGGTGTTTTCAATGTTGGGGAGGCCGACGACAAGTGGCCAAACCACCCTCACCGTTTCTCCGACCGGCTAGTGGTGTTAGGCGGCGGGAGATCGGTTCCTCTCGAGCTCGACTAGTGGTGTTAGAAAGGTTTGGTTGGAGCTGGTGTGGGGGTTGTTCGCTTTTGTTCCTTCGGTTGGTGGCGGGTCGTTTTTCAGAGCTTAGTTCATGTTCGGGTTCGACTTTTGTATAGGCTTTGCGGCAGTTTCGGAAGTGGTACCTGAACTTGGATATTCGCTGGTATCGACTGTTCTCCGCTGGTTTGGTCCGGTTGATTTGCTGTGGAAGGGCTTCTTTTCCCTCTTGTTGTTTTGTGTTTGTCGTTTTAAGTGGTAGGTTGTATTTTTGGTCCGGGCACTTTGCCTGTGTGCTTATGTTCTGTATTTTAGGTATGGGCCGTTGGCCTCAGTTTGAGCGGAGCAATTGATTGTCCTGTGGGTACCAGCTCCTGTCTCTATTCTCCTGTGGGGAGCTTTTCGTTGTAGTTTTCTTTGTGTTGTTGTGTAGTTGTCTAGAGTGTCTTGTTTTGGTTTCTAGCATTTGCTAGTGTCGGGTTTCTAGGCGGTCGTCAGACCTGTCCTCCCATTTCATTCAGCTTTGGGCTGCGCTCCAAGTTGTATCTTTGCACATTTGTGCGTTTGTTATATATATTCCCTATCGTTCTGGCAAAAAAAAAAATGACATTTAATGCAGTTGACTTTTCTGGATAGTAAATGTAGTAAATAGAATATCCTTTTATATAGTATAATACGGAAATAGTAATGCAATAAATGCTGTTGACTTTTCTGGCGTTGCTACCTTTCCACGCGACCGTCGGACATGTGCTAATTGCCATCAGATGATGCCGGAGATGGCAGCCTCAAAATCAGAACATATTCAAATTGATTACTGAAATTGAACTTTAGGGATTTAAAATCGGGGCTCGATTTTTATTGACAGAGACGTCGATTCAATACCAGAGCGAACGAGATTGAAAGGAAAATGATGTCGACGACATGGAGATGCAGCTTAGCCGCGATGACATGTGATAGCCGATATTTTCCACCTAGAGATACAACATGGACGAGATGAGGTTTGGTACGTATATGGAGTAAAAGTATGGCGTAGGCGAGATGACTGTCTTCTATATAGATCAATATTTGTATGGACTATTTCGAATCCTTAGGAATTAACATATAGAATTACAAAGCGTTGGAAATTGACAATGAAAAACTCTATATTTATCTATAAGAAGATAATTCATCAGAAAATCTTTATAAAATAACAAGAACAAAAAAGATGACATGTAGGTTTTTCTTAAATTAATAAATTAAATTTCAAATGACTTATTTATTTCTTATTAGAAAAATAAAAGAAAAAGGATTATAAAATATTTTTGGTAAATTTTTTAATAATAATAAAAGCACAAAATAAAATAACCAAGATCTCATTCTCAATTTCATTTTTTAGTATCAAGTCAAAAGCAAATTAAATAGGGAACCCTTCAACACCCGATTATTTCAACTATTTATTTAATTGTTAATATAATTACTTTGTGCTGGTTAAAAATTTTCTTCTAACTATTTTTTGCCCTGGTTCGCGAAAATTTCTGAATCTACTAGAGTCGTTCATCTTTATCAGCATAGTTCAAAGAAGAAAAATTATTCCCCTCTCGCAGCAGCGCCTCATGTAGGGTGTGCAAACCCAATCCCACATCGAAAAATTAAAGGTTGCAAGTTCAATATATAAGCTTGGTGGGCTACTCCTTCTATTGCCAATTGGTTTTAGAATGGAACCCCATTTGGGCTTGTATGTTGGGCTTGATGGAGAACTGGGTTTTGAGTTGTCGGTCCTAACAATTGGTATCAGAGCCACGGTTGGTAGCCCAATTGCGATGTGGATGACGTGGCATGTTCCCCGTGGAGCCGGAAGGGCCGGTGGATTCGTGTGCCTTGTGTCGAAAGTCTTCCTGGCGAAAGGTGGTCAGGCGGCGGGTTCCGTGGGTGATAACGGCGGTACAAGATGGTCGGATCGTATGAATTTCATTCAAGGGAAGGCCCAATGTGGTCTTGTGTTTGAGGGGAGGTTTGTAGGGTGTGCAAACCCAATCCCACATCGAAAAATTAAAGGTTGCAAGTTCAATATATAAGCTTGGTGGGCTACTCTTTCTATTGCCAATTGGTTTTTGAATAGAACCCCATTTGGGCTTGTATGTTGGGCTTGATGGAGAACTGGGTTTTGAGTTGTCGGTCCTAACATCGCACCTTTCTTCTCCGGCGACCACCCCTGCCGTCGCTGACCGTCGTCCCGAGAATCAGCGCTATCCCATCTTCGAGGAGTCATCGCCGTTCACGCAGCAAAAGTCGGGGCCCTTCGCTGAGGAGCCGCACAGAAGCTCCGTTCACCATTAAATCCGGTGAACCATCCCCTTTTCGGCAACTCTGTTCGTCGACGTCGGCCACCGGGGTTTGCAGTCTATCCGTCATCGAGGTCAGCGACGCTTCTCGCTCGCGAGCAGCCATCACGATTGAGCTCGACCTTTCGAGTTCCGACCATCCGTTTGGCCCATTTTCAGATAACTTGTGGATTCCCGAAGACGGGTAAATTCTTTCGGATCCTCTTCAGTTATTCCTGCGTGTCTGTGTTAATTGCTGATTATATCGTGCTCACTCAATCATGTATTCGTTGGTTTATCGGCTTGTATGGTCGTTTTGTTCGTCGGATTACGATTCGTGAAATTTTCGTGGAATTATTGGACTCTCGTTTGTATAAATCGAACCGTTTTGTTATTGTGATTTAATTCGTTGAATTCGGAGACTCGTTGAAATTTTCCGAGTCATCTAGTTCGTTTGTGTGTCGTTGGAGCCTTGTATGTCGTTTCATTTATTCGGCAAGAAATCCCGGTTTTTATAAGTTTGTCGAACCTCGGATTTTATAAAATCTTAGAACTCTGAAATTTTGTTAATCTCGTGAATTTTTTTTTTTGGATTTTCCTGAACCCGTCGTTCCTGCTCGATACTGCCCCTGTTCGCATTTCACAACCTCTGTTCTGACTGTTCATATTGTCCTCCGCTCAATTCTCCTTCCCAGACCCGATCTCGTTTTTTTTTTAACAGCCTGAACTTGAGTAGCGCACTTCATTTATTTTATCCCTGGCCCTTTACCTTGCTCAGGCCCAATTTGGGTGACCCATTTCCGCGCATGAAGCCCAGTAAAGCAGCATAAGGCGCGCGGGTCGTATTGGCCCGCGAGGTCCCGCGCCCAGCCCGAAGCCTCTCCCTGCTGAAGCCCTGTCCCAGCCCGCGACTGGCCCGATCCTGGCCCGCGCGCCCCCAGCCCTTCTAAGCGTTGGGCCAGGCCTTTCTTTTCCTCTTTTCCGGCCCAGTTTTGCACAGCTTGTCTGCAGCGGCGCATGTGCGGCCTTTTGGCCACTTTTTGTGTTCCGGAGCCTTTTTTTAGTGCGGAAATCATTTTTATAAATTTTTATAAATTGAGAAAAAATTCGGACAAAATTTTATCTCAAGTATCGTTGTCCATTTTCTTATACCGAGTCTTTTTCTTATCAAAATTCAAGAGTTCAAAGTCCACGAAAAATTCGATTAAAATCTTGATCCTTGATTTTGATTAAGTGTGGGTTTTAAATTATTTTCGAGTAGTGAGATAGATTATTGGTATATTATCTCGCTAAAATGTAGGTGTTTGAGGAGTCGAGCCCTCAGCCTACTACCTGTTGATTATTATAATTTCGTCTACCTCGTCTGATCAGGTGGAGTTGATATAAATTATCATGTATGTTAATTTCTATAAATGTTTGGCTTGATGATCTAGGTATGCATGTGAACCGGTAGTCTATGAGGCCTAACTCTAGCCTTTAGAGAGCTTAGTCCGTGATGTTTCATGTGCAGTTGCTCCCGTCTTTTTCGTGGGGACGGCTTGTTTCCTATCTTTTTCGAGATTGATAAGTTAGGTATGATCACATGAGCGTGGTTGTGTTTAGGGAGGGTAGACTAGTCGATTTGCTTACATACTGCTATCATGATTTTAAGTCTTTATATTGATTATACTGCATGGTATGGTGAGCTAAATTGCTCACCCCCACTATTAACCATCTTTCAGGTTGAGCTGGTGGCCGTGGCGAAAAAACGAGCGAGACAAGGTCATTATATGTGTTGAACTGCTATTTACATGCTTTCGTTTGATTATTGTTATTTGACTATCCCATGCTAGACTTGTTTATTTCTCGTTTGGAGACCGAACCGATGTTATCTGGGTTTTGGATTGTGATGCCTGCTTTGGATTTAAATTTGGATTATTGATATGGTATTTGATTTTGGAATTGAATTGGATATATTGATCATGTTGGGATTTGACTCAAGTAGTTCGCATGATGGAATAATTGATATTGATTGACATAAGATATTTATGTTCGGGTTAGATGTACCCGTGGTCCTGGTGTGGACTTAAATTGTATAATGTGAAATTTCGAGTAGCTCCCGTTAAATAAATCCTTAAAATGATTTTTCAAAAATTAACTCTGAATTTTAAAAAAATAAATTGATATTTTTCACTTAAAAATAATGGGGCGTTAGAGTGTTAGTTCCTCTACATTTTGAAGATGAGATTTTGGGACAAAACATGTGAAGATTTGTTGGTAGGGTATGAAAAGATACAGAGATGTGGTCAAGAGAAGTCCACATTGTCCCCGACGAGAAAAGCATCTATATAAAAAGCCAAAACTTGAGTAGAGAAAAAGTTGAAAAATATGTTTAATAGAAAAGGATAAAAAATATGATGCAAAAACACAAAGGGCAAATTTGAGAATTCCTTACATAAATGTACACATGTCAACATAGTTAGGTAATAAAAAAATGGAAGAAAACTCAATTGTTCTTATAGATGGGGAGTAAGGATGGTAAATGCACGAGATGAAGAGAGTTGAGACGATTGCATGATACAAAGAGACTGCAGTTGGGTTTTCAACATTTATAGATACGCGCCAGGACACAATCCAAAATATGTTATGAGGCACGAGTGCATAATAAAATTAAAACACACCACAGAGAAAAGCACAATAGTGAAGCAAGTTTACAATATCTTGTGCAATTCCATATTTATAGGGAATAAAGCTCTCAAACGAAGTTTTCCAAGTTTGTTGAGGCATAAACACCACTCACACACAAAAGCTACACAATAACGAGAGCAGCCATTATGGATGCATCACACTACCACGGCACCATATGTGGTGGATAATTGAAAGAATAACGATAAGCACGCCACGGATGACGGATCTCGTTCGGGCAAATGGCGCATTCACTGTCTGTACTCAAAAGCAACAATATGTAATTTATTAATGACACATTCGCAACAACAACGAAGCAAAATAATAATAATACATAGACGTCTAAACCATAAAGAGTTCCACTAGCATTTATCAATTTCATGTAAAGGGAATGGATGATGTGAATAGTGATATATCATAATGTAACCTGGGTAACCATCTCGCCAACATCCATTCGTCTTCTCCCGATGTTCTTTAGGCTCCGCAGGTAACAATGTAGCAAGCACGTATTTGTCATCGTTCCCTAAATAGAGCTCGGCAAACATAAGGCGTATTCTTTCCCTGCAACTCTCACCCACCATTGCCTCAAAGTTCACATGCACCCAACGTGTACTTTTCTCGGTAAAGTCCATTAAACGACCAGCACAAGTAAAACTGTTGCATCCGAAAGCCCTTTCAAACTTCAAGTTTGTTCCCTGTGTTTTTTTTTTTTTTTACAGTGAAAGATAAGGAACGGGAGATTATAAATGACTGGAGGCAGCGAAAAGAAAGAATAAAAAATTTAGAAGAGGAAACTCACATGTTTCTCATTGTAGTCCTTCAATGCAAATTGTGACAATTTGACAGCATCATCTTCAGACAATAGCTTAGGATCACTGGCCACACTGCATAATGAAATATACACACATTAGCTTTGGTTTGATTTATTAATTTATCAATCACCACAAGAATACATAAATCTAGGACAGATGAAAAAGTGTTACGAGGCATAAAAACCAGTGTTCTAGAAGTCGCTAGGCGCCCGACCAGCGCATTAAATACCTTATTTTTTGGCATCTGGACGACCGCCTAGGAAGATATTTATTACATGGATAAAAACCAGCACGAAATCCAAAACGAGGATGGCTTATGAAAGACCAGCATCTCTGACAACCATTAACTGCACCAGAAACAATTGAGTTCAAATTACATTCAGGATGATAAATCAATAATTATCAACAGACAGCAAGCACTACTAAAGAAATTTCACATTCTATAGTTATAATATTGTGAACAAGATTCTACATATAATTTATAGCAGATTATGTTATTTCACCTCATAGAAACTCGACAGAATCAGTGAAACGCTTTTATTATCAATAATACATAGCAGGGCAGCAAAATACTGAATGGTAAACTACACTGAAGTTGCAAGACTCTAGCATGTATAAACTTCTTTAAATTTGTCGAAGTTACCGTATCATCGTTGTGTAGTATTAAATCTTGAAAAAAAATAAGGAAAACCAATAAATCACAAGATAGTGGAACCAATGCATCTCACATATAGTTGTAATCGGTGCATGCATATATAGGCACAAACATGACATAACAGATATGAATAAAAAAGGTGACTCAGCAACACAGAGTCGTATAGTGGCATTACACTTATCTGTAGGCGCAACAAGCAACAGTGTTGAAAGATCATATGTATCTGTTGGAGAGCAAATTGATTCAACAAACAAAAGAAGTGAGTTTTCATCATCTGGATCCACACTGCGCCGCCTGGCCTCAATATTCAAATGTCTCCAAAGAGCACGACCATCGGCAAAGTCAAGAAGACAACCAGGGCCAGCCATGAACCTTTCCTTGCCATCTAAAACCCTCACAAGCTCCAAGTCGGTTCCCTAGGGATTCATGATAATAATAAAGTAGTTCAATAAATTTATAAATGAAATGAGAGAAAGGAAATTATATTGATGAGGACAGAAGAAAGACATGTCTGTTGTTGTATTTGCATAATGCAAACTCTGCTATCTCCTTTCCAGTTAAACATTTCATCACTTCGCCCTCTTCCTCGGGGGCTACAGGCTGGCTTCTGCATTACATCAGATTAAATTATGTGGTAAACATCAATACCACAAGCAAATTATATTGGAGGACAGGCTGAAAACCAATTGAATAGGACAAATGACTAATTAGAGGTGGTTATAAGCTAAAACCTGTAGGAAAAAGATAAAAAGATTAATGGAGGTCTGTTAAGTTCAGATTAGCTTAAGGAAACAGGAAGATGGAAAGATAAAAAAGAAATAAACCCTTTCGAAGAATAACGAGGTATCCACCGTAGCCGGGGCTTGTTAAGGCTTCCCAATGGGGCTGTTCCCTGAGAAGACATACGTTGGGAGGATGAGATTATAACATGAATGATCACAGAAAAGGAAAAGAGCATGCTGAATATGCCACCTCGTTTGGCTTTTGACTCAGCTCATTATAGGGCAATTTCGAATTTTCAGAAGTTTTATCCTGGTTTTCCTCACTGAATGATTTCCTACGGGGCACAGGCCACGCCAACGTATTGGAGGACAGGCTGAAAACCAATTAAATAAGATAAATGACTAATTAGAGGTGGTTATAAGCTAAAACCTGAAGGAAAAAAGATGAAAAGATTAATGGAGGTCTGTTAAGTTCAGATTAGCTTAAGGAAGCAGGAAGAATGGAAAGATAAAAAAAATAAATAAATAAAATAAACCTCTTCGAATAATAACGAGCCATTCGCCCTCACCAGGGATTTTCAAGGCTTCTCAATGGGGCTGTTCCCTGAGAAGACATATGTTGGGAGGATGAGATTATATCATGATATAATCACAGAAAAGGAAAAGAGCACGCAAAATATGCTACCTCCTTCGGCTTTTGACTCAGCTCATTGTTGGGCACTTTCGACTTTTCGGGAGCTTTATCATTGTTTTCCTCCCTAAATGAATTCTCAGATTAATATTATTATCTGTTTGTTAACTAACAGAATTGTAGAAAAGAAAAGGTTGATAAAATAACACAAAAATGAAAAAAAAAAAAAAATGGCGGTGTAGGGCAAAGTAGCTTCAGAAACTTTGTTTGAAATGAAGCAAAGATTAATAGCCACTGAAACTTATGTTCAATCAATATACCAAAGCGCCTATTTTTTTGAATGAAATCATACAACAAGCTGCTCAGATAAGCTACATATGGAAGATAATCATTCAATAAGAATTAGAAGAAGTCAACGACCACTCACAACATCAATTTCCGTTTGTTACTCCTGGTCAGCGGCATTTTCGTTCCAATATTGATGAAAAAACTAAACCGGAGAAGTATAAGAGCCTGTCACCGTTGAAATCAACGATCAATCATATGACCGCTCCCTGCAATCAAGAAATCGGAATCACGAATAACCATAATAATACTTACGCGGAACCTAAATAGTTTTTAGATATCGATTTTGGACAATGTTTGATAGAAATTTAGCCAAGATTCATTCGAACCTAAGTTTGTAAACGTGCCGATAAGAGAGCGTGTACCTGATTACCGTGCGAACGTCTCCTGTCAATATTGGCTGGGGTTTCTTGGAAAAGAAGCCTTGAGGTTGGTATTGAAGATGAGTGATGGGCCTATTATACTATGGGTCAGCTATTGGGCTTCTAATCTTGATTGTAGAATTAATCCCGTATGTTTGCCTAGTTTTATTAGGGAATGCTATTGCTACACTGTTGCCTGCATCGGCCGAAGAATTAGCTTTTGGACGGTGGGTAGATGGTTCCCGGGTTAGATTATGATAATTCACGTACGATTCACATCATCCAGTAATCCCAATTCGTAAATTGTTAAATGATCCCTTTATTTATGGTTTATAAGTCTGCATTTATTATTATGTTTGCTTTGTAATTGTTCTTGAACACTAGTTTTGTTAATATGCATTAATGTTTTCCATTTGCTCGGACGAGATTCTGGCACTTGTGGGCTTGTTTCAATTATCCAACCAGTAGTTCAGCACCTGATGAAATATAGTACTGGTGTGCATCCGTTTATGACTTTTCTACTGACACGTGGTGTTAGGAAAAAAATTGTAATATCAATAGTGGAATCTTTTCATCAATAATAATTCAGTAAAATTAGAACAATCAAATCTTTTTATCTTATTTCCTCTAAAATCAATCCATAATTTTCTCAACGTCGTCAACCTATGATCTCCTCAACCCCGTATCCCCAAACTGATATGATATCCGCTGCGGTAATATACTGATATCCGTCGTCACCCAAATCATCATCTTCCCCCAGCTGCTTAAAAGTTCTACATATTCAACCCCGTTTTCTATCCCATGACCCGTTAAGATACATGTATGATATAATTGCTCACCTGTCTCAATATCAAGTGAAAATGCCGACTCCGTTCCCACTATTTCGTTAATGACATCAAATAAATCTACCCTAACCTGAATAGAAGCTAGCTTAGGTTCCTGAAAAATTAACCCCTAATGGACTCCGCCGATATCTCTTCCAGCTCTTCATTAGTGTTTGGAATCATCTTGACCTTCGAGAACTGCTGATTCTGCTTCCTAAAGCGAAGAAATCGGTTACGGTTATGGACCTCTGGATTACGAACCCCATAATCTTCCTCATAAACAACCCCGTTAGTCTTGATAAAGCGTGCTACAGCATTATTCCACTCTTCTGCATTTTCATTCAACCTTGCAAATCGAGCTGGCGTAAAGGAATCTATGACGTATGATGCGGAGAGCGTACCCACCAAATTACGGTCATTGACGACTTGACGACTCTTCCTTACCTTCATCTCCAGGTAGGATAGATGAGAGAATATTTCGCAGAAATCTTTTATCACAAAAATAAAAGTTAGAGATATTTTTTTAGAAAATATATGTATATTAAATGTGTATAGTTATCTTAATATAATTTAATTAAAGTTATAATTGTAAATCAAGATAGTATAAAACTACTATCTATTGGTATATATATATAGTATTTATTGAAATATTATAAAATTAACACAAGTTTCTATTACTTACAAGTTATAATAGTATTTATATGAAATATTACAAAATTAACTATCTTAGTTCGTTATTGTTTATCATACAAGCTAGTTATTCAGTCATTAAAACTAAATATCTAATCTTTTTATTATAAAAATGGCAAAATAATAAATGAAAGGAACTAAAAGGACAAATTTAGGTTGAATTAAATATGAGTAAATTTGTAAACAAGCATGCCCTTAACAATTCACAATGTACTCTTACCAGTGTCTCCTTGGTCTTTGGGTGGAGGCAAAATCCCTGGAGTATCCCTCCATGAAAACCGATAATCTGTAAAGTTCCATGCACAATTAGTGTTGTGGTACACTTCAACATCAATTCATGCTCCCCTCAATTTTATTTTAAATTTAGTATATAGTATGTATAATTTAAATATATATATATATAATTAGTAAAATATTGGTATTCGTATTTTTATTGCTATATTTTAGTTAAAGATGTAAGAGTTAAAAAAATTATATATGCAGCTTGTACAGGTTTTTGTAAATTTAATCTCTATGAGAATTGTTACTAGCTTTTTTTAATATATATGGTGTGAACCGTGTGGTTCTTTTATAATACTTCATTTTGGTTAATTAGTAAACTTAGATAATATTTATAGTCATAGTTGATTGTTAAAAAAAAAAAAGAAAGAAACAAAGAAATTGTCATAGATAGATTGGGTAATTTCGTAACCAGAGGTTAAAGAAGAAAATGAATGAGTGAGTTTTTTTAGCTCAACACTAATATGTCATAACAAAAAGTATATTTGAAAGTTATTTTTTTTTTTGCTAC